AAGAAAAAAAAGACTTTTCTGATGTCACTATATTCTATGTGCCTTCTTCCGTTTTCGACGAAGCCAGTAAAATATACCTATTAATGTTTGCAAGTATTATAACAGAGATACAAGGCTCGAAAAAAAACTGGCTCTCGGAAACAAACAGTTACTTTGTTACTTCTGTCTTATTTCTATTTTATTGTAAAAACAGAGGAGTATCGGTTTGTAAATAAACATTTAATCTCGTGTGTACTTCTTTCTAAAAATCATTAAATGGATCAGTCATGAAAGCGATATGTGATCGACAAACGATATTTTGATCAATTAAAAACGGAAGATATTAATGAATAAATGAGATAATTAGCGAGACGTTCCTTGAAACGTTTTTTTAAAGAATACCGATTTTGAGGGAACAATGCAAGGTAATTTGTCGTTAGTAAAAGAATATGCGATTATGCAAATAACGAACAACTGCATATCTAATTATGTATCTGATTAAAGAAGGGCTAATTTTCTTTGTATGTATAATTATTGCTAATAGCTTAGTACATAGATATGTGTACATAAATAGAACAATTCTGTGGTATGCCTTTATGACAAATACGTTTGTGAAATATATGAATGTGCCGATTGTAAAATATAATTTCTTTTTTTTTTAATAAAGTTTCTTCACGTGTGCAAATTGCTACAATCTTATTCACATTTTAATTTATTCGCATCTTAACTTATCTTTTGTCTAAAATGTAATTAACTCGCTCAAAAATATACCTTTTAGTAAACAGTTTATAATAAACGTTGCGTGTCCACGCGATATATAAAATACGATACAGAAAAGGGGACAATCGAAGAAAAAACTTCGTTAAATTTATTTGTACGTTCCCTGTAATAAAATAATGAGAACAGAGAAGATTTTCTGTCCTTTAAGAATTCCTTCCATGATAAAAAAGCGATGCGCACATCATCGAACCGTAATAAAATAATATCGCCACGCCTTGCGTGTTACGAAGCACTTCGTGCCGAGGGCATCACTCGAAAGTTTTGCTGCGCAAGAACAAAAATGCTTCTCATATCTGCTGTTCATTTGCCGTAATATGCCCATGCAAATTAATGTATCGCGGAGAACATTTTCTGACCTTGGCGAAATTCATACAGTTTTATTCCTCTATAATCTAGCACAAAATTGCAGAGCGAGAAAAATTTTCTTTGAAGAGATTAGAGAGTTGTTTCTTGGAATCTCCTTATATAACTCATATTTTTGCAGAAATAATATAAATTATATAAATTATATAAATTATTTTCTTTGCATTTTGT